GCCCGTAGCAGTGTGGTCTGGCCATGGGCCTCTAGCAGTGTGATCTGGCCATGGGCCCCCTGCCATCATGAAACCCATTTTTACGTCGAAAGGCCATTTTTGAAAAAAATATTTTTTATATCGTCAGGTAACAGCCATTTACGTTTTTTTTAACAATACATCAAGAATTTTAGTTTCCGCTACGTCCTCAATAGTCAAATCCGGTCATAAACTGGGTATTTCTCAAAATATAATTTCAAAGGTACAATATAGCGGGACTTATTGACCATCGAGCCTTTATGGCCGGAGCGACTTTTTTCGGGTACGCAAGCCGGTGGAAAAACCCCGGCGTTGCCGGACTTGCGACCTTTTTCAGGTACGCACAGGTACCGCCCCACCCTTTCCCAAAATTCGCGTTAAGGGCGCCATGGAAAAGTGGTGGAAGGCCACGGGACACACTAATTGGTTTTCGTTCAAATTAGAATTTCCAATCAGCGTGTATCTTGTCTTGTATCTTGTTTACTTGGCAGTACAAGAAATTGTACATACATCACTTTTGCAAAAGAAAGCGATTAGAATATTACTTACTGTACATTGTGACCGAAACTCGTGAGTGCGATAAAGTTTCAATTATGTCGAACAGCAAGCGCATTGTTTTTACAATGCAACAGCGTTTACAAATTTTAGAAGAGTTAAAAACATCTTCAATTTCAACCGTTGTAAGAGGACATAAGGAACATTACACAACTATCCGACGCAACCTTAAGAAGGCACCAGTAATTTCAAAATTTGCAGAAAAAGATAAAAGGGAGAAAAGTCGACAAAAAATAAGGTAACCCGTCTGCAAATAATTGGAGCAACGGTGGGTTACGTGGTTTACCGAAAGAAGAGCCATGTGGGATTTTATATCTGATGCATTATTATTGGAAAAAGCAGCAAAATTAAAAGAAGAAATAGGCGCATTTTAAGGGCAGGATCCCGCAGTAACTGTGCTTGTATACTAACACATAGCGACGCATGCACGTATAGGCGATGTGCGAGTGAGAGGTCCGATTTCGTACTTTTAAACTAACGTCTCGAAAATGGCATAAATTCACTTTCTGAGGATAACTTTAGCATCGTTAGCTATCCACAATATCGGGCTGCTATCTATTTTACGTCAATAAACATCACATTTTGAATAAAACGAAAAATTCTTCGGATGTACACGTGAGACAGATATAAATTTTGACAGTCAAGATGGCCGCTCCTAGACACATTGCGCCGTATTTTCGCTTTTATGCAAAATTTAGAGATTTACTCACGGAAAACGATAGCAGCCCGACATTACTGTAATGGTACGATGTCGGGTTGGTCCATATTTTGTCAATTTATCACTTCTGAAAGATGTTAGTTTAAAAATACGATTTTGCACACCGGCGCCTGTCAACGATGTTCCGCCATGCAATTATAGTTTCACGATTATCTACTTGGAGCGCTTGTAGTATTAGTCGCATGTTGTCGCGGTTTTAGCCACATTACCTACAACGTCGATGAAAATACGAAACTGTCGGTAACTGCGTACAATTTTCGGGACAAGGTATGACACTGCGCATTGCATTGCGCATATCACGTAATTCAACTGTTCAGGGAAAATAGAAATCTCAATTTTCCACCTTTAACTTTTCCGTGCTTTATTAACAGAGATGGTCTTCGACCATTCGCTTCCGCAAACAGTGATGAACTGACTCGCACGAAAAAACATTCATCGCCACGCACGCTGACGCATTCTCGCCCGGAATCATTCCTCGAACTCGGACACCCAACGCGACACTCGATCCGATCATCTAAACATCCTCTCGCAAACGCTACGCAGCATTCAATCGGACTCAGGCAAACAATTCATTATCTCATTTCATACACACCGAAATTCTTACAGCTAGACTAAATATAAGTTTAAATCATATAGTGCATATGCCAAAGCAAAATCAAATCTTACAATAGACTGTGGTGCAAGAATAAAAAT